ACAGACAGATGAAAGACAGGCAGGATAAACTGTGGTGTCATCATATTATTATGCCATTAACAGAAAAAGAGAGGTTAGAAAGGATCCTGGCAGAAAGGAGGGCTAGAGAGATTTTCCAGCACTGAATCTGAGATAATAAGATATCTAAATGGAAATGTCTGGCAGATCATTAAAAGTCAAGGAGCTGGAGTTAAGGCAGTGCCTGGCTGTACCCCTGATTTGTCTTACCTGCTTACAGGGAACAGTCAGAGTCAATAATTATGTATGGATTTTCAGCCAAAGTCGGGAAAAATAATGGATGAAAGAAGAAATCTGTACCCTGGACAGTGGAGTGATAAGAACGAACCTTAAGGTACTCCAAGAAATTGAGAAATCCCCCAGACACTGAGAAATGATTGTACGAACTTCATAAGGAAACTAGCTAAGAGAATCCTGCACAGAGCCAGCTGTTATTACAAAGAATACATTAAAAAAGGATTGAAATCAGTGAGATCCGCTACCATGTCTGCCAAATGAAAGGCAGTAGTGCTAGAGGAAGGATTTTCATGGCCATTTAACCAAACATGTATGTCAAGTCCCTTTAGGGACCCTAATTCACCTACTTACCTATCATCAAAATTTAAGCACTTCATAGGGAGTTTAATACTCTTTTTTTTTTAATTAAGCAAAATTCAAGTCAGATATATTTCCAAATTGCTAGTGGTTGCCAAGTAAAAGCAAAGTCAGCAGCACAGTAGGACTTTATTGAATTGCATCAGAGTTTCTGACCTCCACACCCAGTAGACTCAGTTCCCAGCCAGAACGGCCTTCGGAAAGGAAATCTACACAAGGCCTAAGGCTGGGCTGCTTCAACTGTCCAGCGAAGGGCTCCCAACCGAGGGGGTGAACTCCCAGCCCTAGCGTCTCCCCAAGCCCCAAGGTCACAAGTTTTATCCTTAAAATTCCCTAAAATTAATGTAATTCATTTGTAGTATATTTCCAAGTTTATTTTAATAGAGCAATAAGCCAACATTTTACTCAAATGGTAACTATTTGACAAGCCCTGCGCTAAGAATTTTACTTAAATTACCTTATTTACTTCTGACAGAGACTTTCTCCTTTGACCAAAACTTTAGTCGGGCTTCTTTGCCTCACTAGGCCAGACCTGGGCCTTCCCTCTCTGCTCTTGTTGAATACACTTTAAGCAAGAACCTTGCTGAATCAGTTTACCAAAGTCCTCCTACCTCACCACCCGCCAATATCTTATCAACCTAGCAAGAATTTTGTCAAGTCGGTTTAGCCAGAAACCTTTCATCCTTTGCCTTTTAGTAATTTTCCGCTCATTGACACCTCCCCCCATAAATCCCCAGTGGTTCTCGAAGTCCGAGTCTCTGCCCCTCCCCTCAAATCAACAAGTGTTTGGATAAATTTTTCATCAACTCCTTGTTACAGTAACAGGCACTATTTCTGCCACCATTTTAAAAATGGGAAAACCTCAGTTCAGACAAGTTATGAAACTTTCCCAAGGTTATAAAGTTAATTAGTGGTGGAAGTGGGAGTTGGGAAGAACAGGTCTAAAGAATCAGATTTAAAAAAAGAAGCCAACACTAAAAGGTAAGGAAAAGGGACTTAATTCTTTGCCACCCCATCTAATAACAACAATGGGGGACACAGACGACCCTCCCTCCAGGCTCAGCCGTGGGTGCTCTCACTGGTCTACTCTGTGGACTCCTCTCAGCCTACGGCATCCTTTTCTTCCCCCACACAGGTTGCTATTCCTTCTCCTTCCACCCACTGGGATCCTAAAGACAAGTGAACCTGTTAATTATCATATATATATATTTTTTTTTTAATTTTTTTACTTTTTATTTTTTTGCAGTTTTTTATGCAGTTTTTGGCCGGGGTCAGGTTTGAACCCACCAGTTCCGGTCTATGGGGCCAACGCCCCACTCCTTTGAGCCACAGGCGCTGCCCTCCCTTATATATTTTTTACATCATAGCTCTGTCTTTGCTCAGGCTTGAAAAATTGTACTATTCTGTTAACTGATTCCAACAGATTGTTTAAGAACTGCTTTCCTGTATTCCAAATTCAAAAGGATCCTTTCATTTACCCTATAAAAGATCATTTCTAAACATGCTATCTGTACTCGTATATTCTGCTTCAGCTATTGACTCACTTGTTTCAAATATTATGACACTAATAAAAGAATTAAGAAAAGAATCGCTTGAGAGTTCATTATCACTGGATATAACTGGTAACGGGAAAAGGTAAAGCCTGATTTTAGAGATCCAAGTTTATTTTCACGTTCTGAATGACAAGAGCGAGGATGAGGTGATCTTCCCTCCCATATAGAACTGGAAAATTATTCAACCAACACAATAGTAATAACTGTGGGTATCAAAATTAACAAGATGAGGTTGAAAAAAACTGAGGGGAGGCATGAAAATATCTAAATGTACTAA